CCAGGTTTTTCATTTTCAATTCCAAGGAACAACGCAACAAGTTTGATGAGAAAGCTGACGAAGGCATTTTTCTGGGATATTCGCTGACTTCGAAAGCATATAGGGTTCTAAACAAACGATCCAAAAGGATTGAAGAAACCTATTATGTAACATTCAATGACAATTACTTAAAGAAGACTCAAGCGAATGATGGTCAAGCAAAAGAGATATTTCCTCAGACGAACCTAGTGACCATTCCATTGGAAAATCTTTATGATGAATTCATGCTTCTATTTGATGAACTTGAGAAGGCTATCGCTTCTGAAGCGAAGACAACTGATAACAAGGAAGTTGAATCGGAGAAGATATTTGATGACGCTACGAAAGACATGCACAAACAGCCATCAACTACGAATCAACCTCAAAATACAAACACTACATTCCAGGGGGGAATTCTAACTCCAATATGAGTCCTCATGAGGAACCTTTTAAAACACAAAAATCCAATGAACCTCTCCAGGGGGAGGATTCACCTTCAAAATTTGCACACAAAAGTCCAGTCGAGGGGGGAGAAGTGAATCCAGACTTTGAGACCCATTCATCATTTGAGGGGGGAATACAGATGTGAATGATGATACGGATGTTCAATCATAATTCGAAGACGTGAATGCTGAACTTAACCCATCTTATGATCCAAACTACCCTCCACTAACAAAAAGGACCAGAGATCATCCAAAAGCACAAGTGATCGTTGAATCGTCTGCATGAGTTCTTACAAGATCTCAACTGAATGCGAAACAAACCGCTTTATTCTCTCAAGTGGAATACTACATGTTTAATTCGTTTGTCTCCAAGATAGAACCCAAAACTGTTAATACTACTCTCGATCACTCTGATTGGGGACAAGCAATGCAAGACGAGCTCAATAAGTTCAAAAGTGACAAGGTTTGGAGATTGATTCCCACTCCACCGGATGCATCTGTGGTTGGTCTGAAAAGGGTGTTTCGCAACAAATTGGACAAAGAGGGCAATGTGATAAGGACCAAAGCGAGACTCATGGTTAAGGGATATTTCCAAGAAGAGGGTATATCGACTACGAAGAAACCTGTGCACCTATTGCAAGGGTGGAATCTATTCACATCTTCTTGACATACGCAGCACACAAGAACTTCAAAGTATTTCAAATGGATGTTAAGTGTTCTTTCCTAAGCTGAGAATTAGAAGAATCTGTATACGTGGAGCAACCACATGGATTCGTGAATGAAAATTATCCCGATTACTGTTATATTTTGGACAAGGCAGTCTATGGTCTGAAGCAAGCTCCGAGAGCCTGGTATGAAACTCTTACTCATTTCCTTAAAATGCCTAAATTTAAACAAGGTTCAGTTGACCCAGCCTTCTTTCACAAGAGAGAGGGTGAACACTTGATGATCGTCCAAATTTATGTTGATGATATCATCTTCGGCTCTACTAATCCTATCTTAACAGCCAAATTTCGAAAATTGATGGAAACTAAATTTGAGATGAGCTTTATGGGTCCAATTAACTTTTTCCTTGGATTGAATATAAGACAGGGACCATAAGGCATTTTCATAAATCAGGAAGCATACACAAAGACCTTACTAAGTAAGTTCAGAATTATGGGAGACTCCAATGTGAAGGATCGAATGGCATTCGGAGCGAAACTAACACCATCTCTAGAAAAACCAGCTGCTAACATGACTCTTTATCGTCAAGTGATAGGGTCCTTAATGTATCTAACAGCTAGTAGACCAGATATTATGTTTTTCGTTTGCTATTGTGCTAAGTTCCAAGCAAACCCATGTGAAACTTATATGGTGGCAGTTAAGAATATTTTTAGATACCTGAAATGAACCTCGTCACTCGGTATATGATATCCTACAAAGTCATGTTTCTTTGTACAAGCGTTCTCAGATGCTGATCTTGGAGGATGCGGATTAGATAGAAAAAGCACAACCGGAGGATGCTAAATTCTCGATGGTAAACTTGTTAGTTGGCAATCCAAGAAGCAAACATGTGTCTCTTTGTCAATGGCTGAAGCTAAGTACATTGTTGCTGCATCATGTACTTCTCAGGTCATATGGATTCAAAGTCAATTACGAGACTATAGCATGAACATGAAGCAAATCCCACTCCATTGTGATTCCGAAAGTGCAATTCGCATCTAACATAACCCAATTCAACACTCAAAGACAAAACACATAGCACTGCGGTACAATTTCATCAAGGATCATGTAGAAGACGACAACGTTGAGATACATTTCGTACGATTTGCAGACCAATTAGCTAACATATTCAAGAAAGCCTTGCCTGAAGCAATCTTTAATAAAATACTCCAAGGCCTAGGATTGATGGAAGCCGAATCAGTTCCAAAACTACTTTCACTTTCGAAGTAATCCTTTCACTTTCCTTTTTACTTTTAAGACATGAAAATTGGTGCAAACGCTCGCTCTAATTCGTTTATGATTTTTCGGGACACGAATTGAGACGAACGCTCGTCCTATTTTGCATCTCAATTTTTTTTACCCGAACGCTCGTGGTCTGATCTTATTGTATACTTTGTATATTAGACTCTCTTCTTTCATTTTATTTTTTACTAAAGCTTTGAAAATACAAAAATATTTTCTTTATGTTTTTATTTCTTTTTCAGAAAATTTTCAAAATACAAAAATATTTCCTTTTGTTTTTTTTAATTTCATTATTTCCTTAAGTAGCATTGCAGGTTAAAGTGCAAAAATGAATCATGGGGCAAGTATAATTTCTATATCTTTGTACCAGGTAAGTGTCCCTAGAAGCATGTTGTTGCATGTTGTCCGAAGCCTCAATAGACTTTATGTGAAGCCTTAATGAATCAAATCTACTATTCGTTTCTTCCCAATTAGGCTGCTAAATTCACCTAAGTCATGAGCTACCTTACTCTTCTCACATCAAGTTAAGAGTTTTCTGCTTGGTCACATTCGTTTAGCGGAGGTACTTTCGGTTCTTTAACCACCTTCACTCTTCTCCATTTGCCTTCTTACTCATAACTGTAACCCTTTCAACTCTCAACTATACCACTGGGGTTTACGGTTATGAAACATATGAGTTAATGATCTTAGCTTCATTGACCATGAACTGATTGAAACCCAAAATCCAACATACTTACACGAATTGACGATGAACAACTAAAAGTTCTAGCTTTCACCATGGAATTAATGAAACTCCACCTTTGTGGATTGTACCGTGAAATCTATTTTTCTTTTTGCGAGATCTTTTTGAATTGTTCTTATACCAAGACTTTTCTTCCCATAAGATCCAATTTCATTTTTTTAGATTTCTAAAATCAACAAGTCACTAAAATAAAATCAAACCTACTTGTGATTATGGCTACACCGGTCATACGAGTACTTCATCCAGCTTTCGTTCTTATGTTAAGTTTCAAAGTTTGGATTGAAGATGAAGCCACATTTTCTTGCCTAAATTTAAAATATGCCTTTCATTGTCCTTAACAAACAAATGATCATACTTCAATGGGAAACCACACGAGACACTTCATAGTCTCTCTTGACTTTGAAGGAAGAGATTCGTGCCCGGGATGCACTGTTTCGTGTCATAAAGGACATCACAAAAATCCCACACATACATTTGATTTATTTCTTTATCTTTGACACACTCTTGCACGAAGATCTTTATGATTTTCCACATTGTAGTTTATGGCACTTATGTTTCTTTGGTTTTGCAGTATTGGTTGGCACTCGTTTAAATATGTCATTGTGATAACTGCTTCTCAAAAGCGAAAAATAATTCAATGATTATCTCAAAGTGCAAAAGAAAATTTGAAATGTGATGGAATATTGATGACACGACTCTTTTAGGATAAAACTTAAAATTTTGGGCGCGTGGAATTTGAACGGTTTCCACTCATCACGCTGTCTGACACCTTTTCCTAAGGGCTACAACTGTCATATCATGCGTTTTCATGTGCTTTTTCAGAGATGACATCATTATCGATGTTTCAGTCTTCGAGGTTATCCTATAAAAGGAATTTTGTTCCATCCTTTATTCCTTATCGTCTCCGAATTTTCTCAAGAACCCTAAAGGCTGTTTCTGCTTACTGTTCATCTTCTCTCTGCTCAACAACAATTGTTCTTTCTTCATCAGTTCATGAATAGTCAGCTCAATCATCTCTCCTCACCATTAAACAAAATCAAAACATGATTATAGACTTGAATCCAGTCAAGTATGACACATTCATGTTACCAATTATCGAATTCCAGAAGTACTCACCTCTAGTCATTGCTCTGACCAAGTTCGAGAGTGTTCTGATATTGCTACTCTCCAAAGTATATTCTTCAGCACCCTACATGAAAGAGGAGGAACGGATTACCTTTGAGATTTTTGAGAATAAGACTTCATTTTCGAAGGCTAGGTTTTGCTCTCTTCTAGGGCTTACTTATGTCGATTCAATGGTGAACCCAGAATCAATATCTACTGCTCAAATCGTCAAAATGTTTTATCAAATGGGGTACAAGGAACTTATCTCCTCCGTCTCCAAGTTTAGAAAACCTAAACTTCCTCTTCAATGGAACAATCTATTTACCCTACTCTTTAAGGGTTTCTCTGAAAGGGTAACTCAATTTGATTGCGCAAGTAAACTACTCATGACCATCATCTATGGTCTCTATCATGGCATCAATTTGGACTTTGGTTCAGTTTTATGGACTCAACTGGTGCAAAGCACTAATTCCACTACTCAACATAGTGAGATTTTCGGTGCTTGATTTTGGACCATTGTGGTGAAAAGGGCAATTGACAAACTCAACATTCCCGTTATGACGGACTCTCTGATGTCTTCAATCTCTGCGTTTCACACCACCAAGATCATCATTGCTGATACCTCAAAGTTTTCATTTGTGGGATCAATTCCTGAATCCATGTATAGGTGTGAGTCTGGTGAAAGTAAAATCATTGGGGAATACAAGAAGCTTCAAGGTTTGGGTCCAAAGGTCATCACTCCCGAGATGCAACACACTCTTGATGAAGCTGATAAGGTCAAGAAAAGGGGAAAACCAAAACAACCGAAAGAGGGTCCGTCTGCCCTAGCTCAGACTCCCAAAAAGCGAAAGAAAAAAAGGCGATTCTTCGAAGTATGCTCCCTATTCTTCAATATGAAAGCGAGTCAAGAAGCCATCTTGTAAGGTTCTCATCCCTTCTTCAACTTCATCTGAAAGCGAATCTGATGATGCTCATCAAAGAGAATCTGTGGATGATGTCCACCGAAATGACCAAGAGGTAAATTTCTCTATTCCATCCCCTCCACCATCACCTACTTCAACCTCTGTTCCTATCACAATTGCACCTTGCCCACCTCCTATTACTTCTCAACCACTCACTTCTATTCCACTTCAATACCCTATTTTCACTATAACAACAATCACTACGACTACCACAACAAGTGGACCTTTTGTTGATTTCAACGTATCTAATGCGGGGGAAAAGACTTCGGGTTTTGAAACCTTCCTCACAACACCTCCCACTTCTCAACCTCAATATGATTCCAACATCCCACTAGGTGTTGATGGATTCGATTTTGACACTTTTCATTATAGTCCATTCTTGGTCCAGGGAGAAAGCGATGATGACACCTTTGTGACTCAAAGGCATATCAGGGCACTTACTGAAAAGTTGGAATCTCTTATTTCCTCTTCAAGCCAAGCTTATTCCGAAGCAGTGGTTAAGGGTATGCTCGCTACTCTTATGAAAGAGCATGTTGCCAATCTTGCAAAAGCAAACAAAGCGGTTGAAGACTCCACTACTTCATGTCTGCAAGCAACCGAAAAAGTCGATAAACTAATCTCAGAAACAAATACTTTTATGACAGAGATTCATACCACAACTGAATCGAATGCTTCCAAAGAAAATGAGGCGATTACGAAACTAAGAACTTCGCTTCGCACTAAAAGGGAGAATCTGGAAAAGCTTCGTATAGATATCACTACTAACAACACTGCATTTCAAACTTCAATGTCCTCATGCCTTTCCAAGTTCCAAGACGACCTAGTTGTTGAAATTAAAATAATGGACAAACTTGCTCTCTGAACAACTCAATTCAAATCCCAGTCCATCAAGCTCAAGCACGCGAACAAAGAAATTGAGGAGCTTAAAACTGAAAGAACAATTTTGAAAAGCTGTGTAGGAGATGTGAATACGTTACTCTCCAATCTTCTTGTAGAGCATGATCCTATTCTGACCACTAGTATTCACAGACACTTGGTATGTAAGCTTCGTCCAGCTCTTGCGCTTCTTAATAGGATTGAAGATGTTTTTAAGGCCCCTGTCCCTCCAAAACAAGGGGGAGAAGATCCAGTTACTAAGACGGGGGAAGCACCTAAAAATAAAAACGAAACGAAGGGTAATGTAGCTTCTAGTTCAAAAGGGAAGAAACCAATGGGGGGATGTTGATGAAGAAGAAGAAAAAGAAGATGATCAAATGAAAAGAAAGGCTCGTGATCATGAGTTAAATGAAAATGCTCGCATTGCTAGAGAATCCGAAGAGAATGAGATAAAGGAAAAAAAGCTCACGATGCTTTGGAGAGTAGAAAAACGCTCTTTCCATTGTGGATGTTGGGGTAAATGATACACGAGGATGTCGAATTCCCGAGTGCTTACTGGTTTGAGCCAATTATTTCTTTTGATTTAGAAAACACGAAGGATTCTCAGTTCGACATGCCCATAACACGAAAAGCATTCGTTTTTCATTGTTTTGAATCTATTGCAACAGTCCCCTCTCCTGATACAAAAGTGGATAAAGCCTTAATTGACTTTTATCTCACTCATGGCAAACCACAATATCTGACCTAGAATGCTCAAAAGATAACTACAGTCAAAGTTTCAGGGCCAATTGTTACAGGAGGTTTTGTGAATGCGAAGTTCAAGGTAACAAGAGGTTTTGAAAATGTTCTGCATAAATTCACTTTTGCCGATCTGCCCAATCTTAATCCTCATGACTGGATTCTGTTGGTTATTTTTTTGCTGATTGAAGAAAAAAAGTATATATATGAAGTGGCGAAGCTTGACACCGAAATAGATGATGTTTTGAAATGAAATCCCTTTGTCAATCCGATTGGAAGAGAAAGTGACATGAGTGAAATGTGAATGGGTAAAATTGATTTAGAGCGCTACACCGTGATGTTCCAGCGTGGAAAAGATGTTTCAGGATCATTTCAAAAATATATTTTTGGATTGGTCGAGAAACACTTGTTCTCCACATCTTGTTTAGAACACATTTTAGAGATTTTCAATACGTGTAAATCAAATGATGTTGTTGCGACAAAGAACTTCGATGAGATGATTCGATGGTACATCATCTTCTGCAGTACTTTACTCGTTGTGATTCCCAAGCTTTTCAAGACAATCAAGAAGACTCAACAGTAAACCACCTCTCGCCTCAATTGATGCAAAGGGGGGAGATTGTTGGGTGTTAGCTGTTGCATCATTGGGTTGTTTTGTATGTAGTCCAATAAGTATACAGTTTGGGCCTGTCAAGCCATCTTATTAATTAGGGTTTATGTATTTATAGTGCGTGCATGCACTGTAGGAAGTTAACGTTTTTATCTTTGGAAATCATTTGTAAACCCTTGAACGCCTCTACAGTTGAAATTCTTTATCGAGTTCATTTAAGGCGTGACTTTTAATCGTTCAACATCTGTTTGATTATTAGTATGTTATTGCTTTACCTGTTTGAATCTTATCGATCTTTTAGATTTTTAACTCATCATTCAGGATGCGCCAGGGACTTTGGATTCCCTGCTTGAGGTTCAGATTGCAGACGACCACATTGTGAGTGCTATGAGGGTGTATTGGGACTGTGTATTGAATGTGCTTGGGGAGAGGTTTCATCTTGATCTAGTCTCGATATAGTTCCGAGGGCTGAAGGTGATTGTCGGGATGCGCTGGTTGGGGGCCAATGGGGCCATGATATAATGTGAGCGCCATTTGGTGAGGGTTCGAACCCCAAGTAGGGGAGACAACGTTATTCATGGAGTGAGGGCCTCGCAGGGGCCAACCCTTTTTTCAGCTACGAGAGCTAGGAGATTTCTACAGCAGGGTTGTACGTGATTTCTGATATATATCTTGGATATGAGGGCTGAGACCCCGATGGATTTGCACAATGTATCGGTTGTGAGTTTCAGGATGTCTTTCCTGAGGAGTTACCTGGAGTGCCTTCAGATACACAAATGGAGTTTCGCATTGATTTGGTGTCGTATGCCGCTGTGATAGCCAAGGAACAATACTGGCTAGCTCCACCTGAGATGCAGGAGCTATCTACGCAGCTTCAGGAGCTGCTAGACCGAGGGTTTATCTATCCAAGTAGTTCCCCGTGGGGAGCTCCAATGTTGTTCGTAAAAAATAAGGAGGGGTCACACAGGATTTGTAATGATTATCGAGAGTTGAACAAACTAATAGTGAAAAACCGTTATTCATAACCAAGGATCGAAGATTTGTTCAATCGGTTGTAGGGTGCGTCTTGGTTTTCCAAGATTGATCTTCGGTGTGGGTACCATCAGATGAGGATTCAGGATGAGGGTATACCGAAGACAACTTTTGGGACCCAGTACAGACACTATAAGTTTGTGGTGATGCCATTTGGGCTCATCACTTCCCCAGTAGCGTACATGGATCTCATGAACAAAGTGTGTAGACCGATGTTGGATTGGTCAATGATCATTTTTATTGATGATATCCTGGTCTATTATAAGACCAAGGAGAAACATCTGAGGGAAGTATTAGAGACACTGAGAATGGAACAACTTTATGCTAAGTTCTCAAAGTGTGATTTTTGGCTGCGAGAGATGAATTTTTTAGGGCACATCATCAATCAAGAGGGTATTTTGATTGATCCAACCAAGGTTGAGGTAGTGATATGGTGGGAAGTACCAAAGAATGCATCTGAGATTCATAGCTTCTTGGGTCTAGCAGGGTACTATCAGAGATTCATCCATGATTACTCCAATACTGCGGTGCCTTTGACCGCTTGACTAAGAAGAATGTGACATTTCGATTGGCTTTCGAGACCTTGAGACAGAGGTTATGTGAGAATCTGATTCTAGTACTACCTGAGGGGCTGGATGATTTGGTAGTGTACTGTGATGCATCGATCTCATGATTAGGCACGATACAGATGCAGAGGGGGCATGGAATTGCTTATGCCTCGAGGAAGTTGAAGCCTCATGAAGCGAACTACCCTACTCACGACCTGGAATTGGGGGCAATGGTGTTTTCCCTTAAGATTTGGAGGCATTACTTGTATGGGGTATGGTGCACTATTTATACTGATCATAAGATTCTGAAGTACTTGATGGATCAGCAAAACCTCAACATGCGATAGAGAAGGTGCTGGGACGTGCTGAAAGATTATGATTGCGAGATCTTATACCATCCAGGGAAGGCCAATGTGGTGGATAATGCTTTGAGCCACAAGACGGCGGGTTCCCCAATTGGGAACATTTGTTTGAGGATGACAGTGATCTCTTAATTGTTGGATATGATCAAGGAGGATCAAGTGGAAGGTTTGAAGAGAGAAAATTGGAAGTTAGAGTGGATACGGGGTCAGATCCCTTTGTTTCTCCGAGATGGTCGGGGTCTCTTGACCCAGTGTGGTCGAGTGTGGGTCCCAACTTCTGGAGGGGTGAGGCAGAAGATATTGCAGGAGGCACATAATTCTAAGTTCTCAGGGGCTAGAAAAATGTATATAGAATTGAGACTAAGTTACTGGTGGCCCTGCATGAAGCGGGAGATCGTCTGGTTTGTCGAGCGGTGCTTGACCTACCGGAAGGTCAATGCCGAGCATCAACGGCCTCATGGAAAGGTTTAGCTTCTATCCATTCCCATGTGGAAGTGGGAAGAGATCACTACGGACTTCATCACGAAGTTACCAAGGATAGCGAGGGGTGTAGATTCCATATGGGTGACTGTGGACAGGTTGACGATGAGTGCCCACTTTATTCCGATCTCTGAGAGCATCTCCGCTAAGAAATTGGTGGATATTTATATGCAAGAGGTGGTGGCTAGACACGGGGTGCCAGTGTCGGTAGTCTCTGACAGGAATGTTCAATTCACATCTAGATTCTAGAAGAAGTTCCATGAGGAACTGAGCACCTAGTTACATTTCAACATGGCGTACCGCCCCCAGACAAATGGCCAGAGTGAGGGGACAATCCAGACACTTGAGCAAATTTTGCGAGCATATATGTTGGATTTTTGAGGGAGTTGGGACATATACGTCCCACCAGCATAGTTTTCATATAACAATAGTTATCATGCTAGTATCGACTAACCACCATTCAAGATGTTGTATGGTCGGAGGTGTAGGACCTTGGTTTGTTGGGGTGAGGTTGGACACTGAGTCATGGGGAGCACCAAGGTAGTGCTCAAGACTACCAGGCGAATTCAGTAGGTACGCGATCAACTACAAGTCACACAGAGCCTTCAGAAAGGCTATGCTGACCGGCATCGATCGGACCTTGAGTTCCAGATGGGCGATTTTGACTTGCTGAAAGTGTTACCATGGAAGGGTGTCATTAGGTTTCGGAACAGGGGTTGCTGTGCTGGGACTCGATGAGTTCAGTCTCCTCACCATACCAATGGATCAAAGGCACAAAGGTCGGCCCATTTTTTGATATGTGGTACACTAGTGTCACACCCCCAAACCAAGGATGGTGGAAACGTCTGGGGTGGCGGACTTCATGTATGGTATCACAACAACGAGTACAATAGTGCTCAAAGTAAATACAACCAATCATAAATATAATCGAAAAAGAATTACATAATTTCAAGTGTTACATATTTCAATGATTGATTTCATCATGATATATATAAATAGTTGTTCAACGCCATATCGTTCCATCCTCAAAAGCTTGTGGTTACCTAGTTTTGTTGGTTTCCTAAGGATACAAGTAGTTTTGAAAAAGTGTCAACAATTAAGTTGGTGAGTTCATAAGCTTTTCAGATGAAGAGTTTGGAAACCGATATTTGTAATGAGTTGCGTGTTACCAAGAAAAATCCAATATTTTCCTTACAAAAGTGATGTGTAGTCTTTA